TGACGACCAACTCAAGTTTCCACTCCATCAAATAGCTGTAGTCCCACTCCCAGAGTGTATGCACATGTATATGTTATGCGTTCGCATGTATAAGTATCACATTGCAGTGTCTCTTTACTTCTGGGACATTTTTGTTACGACTTACGCGTCAACGCATACGTCCAAGGTTGATACGTGTAATTTTCTCAATCCACTCTATAACAAGCAGAGGTGGTGTGCGTGGTGCAAATCATGAACAAATGAGCCCCATCTTGTGAAAATGCAACAATTTAATCAATAAAATCTCATTTGACCCGCAAAAACAAACTAAAAATGCAAACCGCGAGAGAGCGGCGAACAAACAGCACCACTAACTTCTTCCTCAAGTTGAGGGTAAAATGGGTACATGAAAATTTAATGTGCGTGTAGTCCCTGAGTTAAATAAGACGGGGCTTCGACTTGACACGCAATAATTAAGTGATTTCCTCGCTCGACCTATATATGCACACCCGCGGCACATGATCCGCGTGCCGGTCACATCCTCCTCTCCTCTCCTCTCAGGCTCTCACACGCTCAGCCCCCCGTGGGCCGCACCGCTCCCAAGCCCCCCATCCCTCCCAGCGGCGCAAGCCCAACCACCTCCTCCGCTCCAGGTTTAGGTCGGGAGTATTCGCTGCTCGATCGTCTCATGGTTCATTGGTTTATCTTGCTGCTTGTCTAGTTTGGATCGTGGGCTTTGATGGCGTTCATGGTTGATATTTATGCATGTACACCATGTTCGTGTTGTTCGATGCCCTCTCGCCGCTGCTCCATGTAGTCGCTGCTTGCTGCCTGCGCATGTTCGATTTGCTGTTTCGAGCTAGGATCGTCGGGGGTTGCTTTGCGTTCCATGAGGTGTAGTCTCCAGTCGTGTGAGTTTCGCTATCGAAGTGTTTGATCCTGTGTAGAACTCGTCCCGCTAATGCCGTGGTTCTTGACCCCGTAGTGTTCTTCTGCGTGATTTGTTTAGCATGCGTGATTTGTTCGTTGGTCGATTATTATTTGGAGTTTTTACCGCTCATTGTTCGATTTGAGAGGGTTTCCGTTCTTCGTGTGGTTTTTCGATTCGGCACCGTGCAAAGTGGTGTGTGTACTCAGATCTAGTCCATATGTGTGCATCTTATTACTCCATTTGATCTGTGTACCATCTTTTGTGCACGTTTACTCTAAACTAGTAGAATATTCGTGCGTTGCTATGGGCTTTTAAATTTTTTACAAGTCCACTTATAAATACAATGCATATCAAATTTTGTAGATATGGATTTTTTTTGTAATTACACCTATAAATATAAAGTATTTCAAATTTTATATCTATAATATGTAAATAGTTCATCCTTACTATTCTATTTCTCTTGACACGCAGAGAAAAGATATCCTAGAATGATAAAAAAAATTAAAATCCACTTCGCCTACAATGTAACTCGAGTATGTGTACATTGAGAGCCTATAATTATAATGCATTTCAAATTTCATATGTATAGAGAAGATAGCCTGGAGCAATCAGAAAATATTTAAAATCTACTTCGCATGCAATGTAACTCGAGGATGTGTACATAGAGAGAAACTATCCAATATATATATATATATATATATATATATATATATATATATATATATATATATATATATATATAGATAGATAAATTGTTTGGGGCACCTAGGTGCCTGGGCACCTTGTTCGGGTCCAACCCACTAATGCATTCCCTGCTTATAAATAATCGCTAATCGCTACTAACCTTCCAAATAATTTGCTTTCCGTTTCCACGTGCATGCACTTGTATCTTCCACGACCATTAATTGTAGATGATTCCTGCATGGTTTATTCTACGTATTAGAACATATACCTACAAACGTATATACCCTACGATTCATTCTAGGTACTTTTAGATATCCACAAATGTATATACCCTACAATTTATTACAAATAATTGCATGCATGTATATACCCTATGATTTCTTCTAGGTATTAGATACATACAGATGTATATATATAATTTATTCCAAATAATTTGCATGCACGTATATACCTTATGATTTATTCTAGGTATTAGGAACCTACAAACGTAGTCTGATATATTTATAAGTGGATACTCAAGTTTAAAAAAAAACAATGCATACTCAAGATATTTCTGTAAATATCTCGACGTGAAATTTATTGGTACATACCTGTAAATGTCACTACCTTTTTATAAGTGGATTCAGATACGCAAACCAAATACCTCGACAAATGATATGTTATCTTCATATAAATATGATACCTATACAACATACCACGATAGAGATGTATCAAATGTGATGATTCTGATGAGTGATACCAAAAAATACATATTATCCTTACACAATTTCTGGGTATAGAAAGTCTATTTAATACCCAGGGTGAAGAATTAGTAATTCTTCACCCCGGTCGAACGACCCAGCCCCACCCAGCCGGCACGCAATTTGACTCCATCGCAGCCGCCCGCCCGCACCGCTCTCCAGCCGAGGTTTCTTTTTAGTAAATCCAGCCGAGGTAATTTATTCCCCCTGCCAACTGGTTTTTTACGATGCGCTTTAGCCATTTTGGAGCTCACCCCACTCCCCACAATTTCTAAAACTATTGGGAGCGGAAACGGCGAGCGGTTCGGAGGTGAGCGGCGGTAGGTTTCGGCGGCGAGCCGACGGCAGTTGCGGGTGGATTTGGGTGTGGGCGACGCCGAAGGTGGCCCCGTTGGCTGGCTGCAGCGTTTCCAGAGGCTTCCCGGCGTGTGGCAGCCTCGTCGCGCGGCGGCCGTGCCATGAGACCATGACCCGCCTCCACCCTCCGCTCCCTTCGTTGCGCTGGCGATGGCCCGGCCTGCCTTGCCATTCCCCGCCCCCGAGCTCCTGCCATGTCCTGTCGTCGTCGCACCGGCGCCGGAACCCATCCCACTTTTCTCTTTTTGGTGCGCACAGCAGTAGGAGGTCTCCGTTTGGAGCCAGGGTCGCGGCCCCCTACCTCCGACCAGCGAAAGCAGACCCCGCGTAAGATGCGCGGTTGCAGCAGCAACATCTATTCCACGCCCTTACTTCTTCAACCAGCTGGACGAGACTCCATGGCCTTCATGCCCTAGCTGTTGCCCTCTGGTCTGGTTTTTCTCTTTTCCTCTTTCCTTCTCTCCCTCTGTATGTGTGTGCATGCGTGCGTCTGTGTTCTTCTTATTAGTCATTACTTAAGTTTAGATTAATTGGTGTTATGCAGGACGAGTATTGTGCAGGAAGCCCAGGAGTCAATTTACATCTTATCTGACCATCTTAGATATTTCCTTATTTCTTAGGTTTGTGATTTGGCTTTGGCCTGTGTATAAGTTTATTCCCCATTAGGAATCCACTACTGTACCACGGTAGCATTTATCTCATTCTGAATCTCAAAGGTATTTTAGAAATCCCATATTAATCATTTAATTTATGACATAGTTGGATAATCATGAAACAAAATTTGTTGATTTGATGGTTGCAAACCTAGATTTTTCCATCTTTCAAATGCCATGTAATGTTTCTCATAGGCTCGACATATACATATTGGCCTAAATCTGCATTTGTGTTTGGTTGTCTATCTAAATTCAGTTTCTTCCATTAATTTTGATGGTGTATTTCTCCCAGAACTTAGATATACAGTTGTTAGCTGAATTTAATCGTAGAATGACGATCTTCTTTCCATGTCACGCAAAAACAGCAACCTTCTCTTTTTTATGTTGTTATTTAAAAAATGTTCCACGTATACTGTTGTTAGCTGAATTTAATTGGGGACTGATCTGGTTTCCATGCCAGGAGCATGTATTGATTTATTCTCCCATGGGAAGTATCTGCTCCATGCTCCAGTTTGGTCAAATTTAGTAAGAAATTCAGTTAGCTGAATTTAGATAGATTGCCCATATGCAGAGGTGAGGCATTGTATTTTTTATTTTGATCTCGCCCCGTATTTATTTGTTTATTAGGGCATAGCTATCCTACAAGCTAAATACTCGTTTCAAGCCGAGATGATCTTGTCGCTACCTTCCCCTCTCCATAATACACGATCGCCAGTGACACCTGCATCAACGACGACGACTGCTTGGTTCTCTCCTGTAAGTATTCCTCCATCATCCTCTTTTTTCTCTTCCTCTTCCTCGTCTGAAAATATAGGTTCTGAGATTTCTATCTCTCCCAGGCTCCCCTCCTCCTGATTCTTTTATTGGGTTATGTTAGATGTTTGTAAAATTGACAAGAGTTTTTGGTAAAAAAAATTTACTGTTGTTTAGGCACCATGCCACTGCTAAGATTATTGTAGTACCTTCAATATTGCCCCCTCCTTTTTCTGCAAAATGTGTAAATGTAGTTAAGAGTACGGAAAACATGAGATCTTTGTTTGAAAAACCTTCAGACATCTTTGTTTTTGGGTATCAAAGTTCAGTGTTATTGCTGCTCTGACATAGTGTTTTCATGGTGAAAAAGTGGACTGCTAATGAAGAAATATAAATTTTGTCAAATGAGTAGAAAGTATTTAAATTCAGCAACTGTCTACATTTCAACAAATAAAGTGATGCAAGGTATTCAGGTTTCTGCTACCAACGAGAATTTACATGAGTTTTGGCATTAACTTACTGCTTAATTGTTGTCGTGCTGATTGTTTCTCTTTGGTTTCAGAAGCATATGTACTGTTGGACTGTTCATAAACTATTTGACTACGGATTTCCATGGGATTACATCTCAATCTACCTCATGTTGATGCACTGTCAAAATTAATTCAGTACTATTTTTGTCGTATTTTTGGCTAAAATACCACCCATCCCTTGACTGTATGTTCTTTCATATGTACTATAATCTGGAAGCATAATTAAAATATTTTCTTTTAAGTTGATGGTCATTATTTTGCAGCTGAAGGTTTATATGATATGTGCATAATCGTATAAAAAGTGTTCAACTACTTGTATGCACTAGTCGATTTTTTGAACAATGTTTGACTTCTTAGTTCATCCGAAATAGACATGGACTCTGTCTCAATATTTTGTTTCTTCTCATATGCTATTTGTGGTCACCCCAAAATATTTTCCACTGAGATCAGGGTGCCATTTGGAAGCAATGCAAACCTTGCATGTATGAGCAATTTCAGGTCTCAATACTTTGATAGTGACATAAAGCTACCTATCGCCAACTTTTTGTGTTCAGATCTGATACAAATAACCAAGAGAAAGGAAGAAGGCAAGGTATGTGCCCACTAACTCCTAACGAGGTAGGGCTATTGTTGGGAGCATTAGGCCACGTAAGCAATGTCCATATTTATGCTGCTTCTAGCAAGGTGGAGAAGATACTTTACCAGTCCTCAAAGCGCTCTATTCATATTTCCATACAGAAGGATCATTGTCAAGTAAAGATGAGTTGACTCCATTTTTGCCACACTCATCTCTCATGACTTCAATCGATTTCATTTTCTATGATGGAATTGATTCTGACAATAATGGCAACATGGCCAGAATACTTGCTATTGCTGGACCAAGGTGATGCTCTGATGCTTCTGTTGTTTCGTTGCACACATCCCTGTTGGCTATATCTCTTAGTTCATTGTGAATTATGACACTGCTTTCCGCATGAGATATATTGGTCACAATAAAATGTTAAACAACTCTACATTACAACGGATCTATGTCATGGGATGAATTCTCATCACAGGTGCGAGTAGTCCAGAAAGGATCTATGGGACATTCCATGGAAGTCATAACAGAAGAGGCGAATTCTATGCCAACCCTACTGCCTCTTCTGTTATGAGAAGAAACAAAATATTCACAATGGAGGAAAGACTAAAGATGACCCCTCCTACATGGCCATTGCCCCCTCCTCCGCTCCCCCCCCCTCTTGATGGTATGGTCCGTCCGTCTCCCACTGAAGATCCGCATCTTCATGTGGCAGTGGATCCGTGGACGGATCCCATCCGGTGTGGAGGTCCGCAAGCGTAATGGCCCAGGCACTGGTATCTGCCCCCTCTGTGCTGTCCCCGAGGACTCCAACCACATCTTCTTCGCATGCGCCTCCGCC